TTTCATTGACCTTGATTTCTGATGAATAATTTGGTAGGGCACAAGATTACTTTGATTTGCTCTCTCAATTGGAGGGCCAGAAATTTTGGTACTAGAAACTAGAAAAAGGACCATGCTATTATCGAGCCAGTATATCATCTGCTTGGATTGGAGTGGTACTCCTAGGTATTTGTTCCCATAAACATGCTATGGTCTGTGCCACTGACAGGATAATCAAGCTCTTAGTGTGTCACTTGGAGATCACAATGTAAAGAGAACAACAGCTTGCTAAATGTGTTATATTGCTATACTTTCCAAGAGAATTCAAGGTATTTCATAGCCAAATGCACATTAATACATTATATACTGATATTTAAAGAAAATCAGAAAGAGATAAGTTGTTGTATTTGAAAGACATGCAATGTATTTCAGATAGGGCACTTCAGAAAATTACAGAACAGCACAAAAATGCAACGTTGGGTATGTCTACACTGCAATTAAACACCCGTGGCTGGCTCGTGCCAGCTAACTTGGGCTATAAAATTGCAGTGCAGATGCTTAGGCTTGGGCCCAAGCTCTGGGACCCTTGTGTATGTTTAAACTACAATTAATAACTCACAGCTGGCCCCTGCCAGCTGACTCAGGCTTGGGCTAAGGGGCTGTTTCATTGCAATGTAGACTTCCAGGCTTGCGCTGCAGCCTGAGCTCTGGGGACCTCCCACCCCGGAGAGTCCTAGACCCTGGGCTCCAGCCCGAGCCCAAAAGTCTACCCTGCAATGAAACAGTCACTTAGCCCAAGCCCTGCAAACCTGAGTCAGCTGGCATGAGCCAGCCACAGGTTTTTAATTGCAACGTAGACATACCCTCTTCCATCATAGGGTCCCCTAGGTCAGGCTCCAGACTGAGCCTGAACCGCTACACTGCAACTTTATAGCCCTGCAGCCAGAGCCCCATGAACTGGAGTCAGCTAACGAAGTCCAGCTGTGGGTGTTTAATTGCAGTGTACACATACCCTTTGCTTGTTTACATTGCAAAGAAAAACCAGCAGCACGGAGTCTTAGAGCCGGGGCAACTGACTCGGACTTGTGGGCACAGGCTGCGGGGCTAAAAACAGCAGTATAGATGTCCTCATTTAGGCCGGAGCTCAGACTCCAAGACCCTCCCCCCTTGCCAGGCTCCAGCCCAAGCAGGACCATCTACACTGCTATTTTTAGCCCCATACCCTGAGCCCAGGCTTTCAGACTTGGTGCTGTGGGTTTTTCTTCGCAGTGTAGACGCTACCTAAAACAGAGCCCTTTAGTGTAAGCTCAGGCAAGGTAATATTTTTTCAGACAACCTGCTGCTTGACAAATTTCTACTGCTTTCTGACACAGCAGATTTAACTACTGTTTGTGTAGCTTCATAACATTTCAGAGCTTCTGTCATATTTAAAATGGGTATAAAATACTTCCCAATTGTTCAATGATCTTTCTGTTTTAAGGAGTTTATACATAATACAAGGATGGCAGATTCGGACAAATAACTAAGGAACCACCTGGTGAAATTCTATGGCCTGTGCTATGCAAGAGGTCACACT